TCTTCTTATCGGCAGCTTTACAGCCAGCGGACCACACGGGGATGGCATGAGCCAGCACACTCTCGATTGTGGCTCGATAGAAGGACACCAGCAGATTGGTCTGCAGCCTGTTCCATTTCAGGACCCTCAGGAAATAGAAATAGTACTGTACTGCATCTTCTCTGAGACGTCATATGCATCCTTTTATGTAGCCTTTGTGGTTTGTGGACAGGTGGTTTTGGTTCAGTGCCAGAGTGACTAATCAGGAGAAACCACTGAAACTCAGTCCCAGTCCTGCCCTGTTTAGGTTGTCAGTGAATTTGCTTTTCTACCTGATTCACAACTGCAGGCTAATGCTAGAACCATTTTTGAGTGGTTTCATTAAGTTAAAAAGGTCACTTAAGCTTTGAATATCTGATATGCAATCGTCAAAACCCTGGAGCAATCCTAAATGAAGCCTAACCTTATCCTTCACAATAGGATACCGATGGAATCCGTACACTAAAGACAATGCACAAGTTACGAAACATTGACCTATCCCTGAAATTGAACCTCTATTTTGTGCTGGGATATAGTCGTTTTAAAATGTACAATACATTAAGGCTGTGTGTGATTCTGCATGTTAGGATGATGGGTAGGTCACTGGCTTAAATCCCACTGCTAGCAGAGTGATTTCATCATTAGGCCCTTGACTCAAGTTGCTCCAGAGACTTGCCTTCTGCAAAAAAAGTAAATGTATATAAAGCAACTGTTATGTATTAATTTCATGTTATTTTTCCCTTCATGACTTGTGTTGTGGAAAGGCATTGTGTATATTATGCACTCCAGCAGCATTATGAACCTATTAGCTATTGGTAAGAGAGACACCGTCCACTATCAATGCTGGTTCTCCGGCCTCCGTACGGAGGACAAGCCGGCGGCAAGAGCGCCACAAACAGCGTGAGGGAATCCCTCTACTTCGGCACTGTCATAAGCTGGCCGGAGCAGATGTAGGTGCAGTGTTCAGGTCCTGGGGACGCCAGTGCAGACGACGCGAGCCAGATCAGCGGAACCAACCAGGAACAATAACAGCGTTCTACTGCTCAAAAGGTATTTTATTTCTACAAAAGGCAAAGCTGTGCATTTATACCCAATAAACAAACTACGTTCATCTCCAAATAGGAAGATTTCTGGAGAATTTCGCATTTTTTCACCAAGATTGGAGATCGATAAGGAACTTAAAGGAATCGAGGTAAAGTAACGTGAGTGATTTTCATTAATCGTTTTTATACACCCCTTGACCCTAACCAGTATACTAGGTTATAATTGATCTATTTCAATGCCCGTTGGTCAATGCAATGTCAATTTATCATTTTAAGGTAAAGTGTCTCGCTCGATCGGTACCAGTACAGCTTCACGCCCCCAGCTGTGCAAGGGCGGAATTTCGGAAACATCCCGCACGGGTGAGTGATGCGATGGGCTTGACATGCGATTGACATGCGAGTGATGCGATTGTACACAAATTGTAGAATATGTAGCTTATAGCAAGACAATATTTTATAGTCAAACAATATGTACGATACAGCTAAACGTTACGTGAATAGTAGTTTTGCTTTAAGATTACAAACTGCGCTAGTTTAGAAATGATTGCAAAGTTTTTTTTCTCCATAAATTGTCCATATTTTGTACCTCCGGAAATCGGATGACGAGATGAGTAAATCAGATGAACTGGCATCAGGTCCCGGAGTTCCCATGGCTTGCGCCTTGCTATTCTTGGGATAAGTTTCCGTTTCTCCGTGACCCTGCACTGGATCACACTGCAAAAACGCAAATCGGAGGCTTGAAAGCGATTGAGCTGGCTGACGTGTATTTGTGGATCTAAACACATCCATGAGCTCAGTGCATGGATTTAGCTCAACAGAGTGTATTGCGTGTTATGTATGATCAGCAATAGGGCGATTTGGCTTTATATAAAGTGTAACTTAATTAAATATGAAATATGACTTTTGAATGAGATGCTCGGCTGCGTTTCTAGCCGGACCCTTTTCAGCGCTGCACACAAACTCTGCCTGGGTTTCGCACTGCTGGCCGTTCGCCTCCCATCCTCCGCTGCTTTCTCTCTGCATACTAAAGATAATCCTCCGGGGGAACTCTCAGACGGAAGCCCTTAAGTCTGGAAACACTGGTAAACAGCATAAAAGTTATTTTAATTACCCGGGACGGCAGAGTAGCCTGCGAGCCGAGCGTGCTAGCTAACAGATTAACACACCTTTTGTGTGTCATCGGCATTTTCACACCGGGTTTGATGCTCGGTTTCGGACACTCTCTTGTCATTTAACTAAATAATTTCATTTTTAAGCATCAAGCATGGGTTTTGCCGTCCGACTTGGGCAAACGTGCTAGCTGAAACCATTAGCTGGTTAGTTCTGTATCAGTTAGTTTCCAGCTGTTCATGTTGTGTTTGTGATGTTTTTGTGCTTCTGATAACGTCGCTGATTTAGTACAAAAACTGCTTTGTGCGATATTAGGAGCTCTTGCTTTAGCTGGGTATGGGCTGTTAGCTTCCCAGCTGCACTCTGCCTGGTACCTCCTGTCTGAATGTGTCATTAACCCCCTGTTTTCCCGGCTCCTCCGCTACTTTGAGCTCTTTGCCCTCCCAAACCGGCTCCTGTTGGGTGTCTAATAAGTGTGCAGGCAGTGAATCACGGTGGAAATGGCGTCCTGTCGTGGGTGTTACCCCGTCCTTAAAACCCTGCGTGGATAGGCAGTTAATGACCGCTTCTCAGTTCGGTGTCTGGCTATTTCTGAACACCCGAGTCTCTGAATATATAAATATTCAGTAACTTATAATCGCATACGCTGTTATTGTATGTTTTATAAAGTCAGTGTAACTGAAATATAGTATTGAAATATTAACCTTAGACTCCTTAAATGCAGGCAAAAAAACATCCAACAATGACGTGTCGGCTTATGATATTTGATATGCAGTCAAATAAATGGAATAATGGCATTAACATTATGATAGAGAAATATATTTAAGGAAACATGTTAATTTTTAAAAGTACCTTAAAGCTCTTGGTTGGTTTTTATGGCATTAGCTCTTTTTTTTGCTATCACAGTTTGTAAGATGTGGTGTAATATAATTGTGATATGATGTATCAATACTTAGCAGGTCATATGGAATCCAGTGAAGATGAATGTCCACTCAGTGTTGGAGGCTCCTCTAGTGAGGAGAATTACTTCCTGGGCTACACATTCACTGACCGGTCACACTCCAGCCGCGTGGTGAAGAGCATCATGGATCTCTGCTTGGAAGACGGCCTCTTTGCCGACGTCACCGTCATGGTGGACGGCCGGGAGTTCCTCCTGCACCGCCTGGTGCTGTCGGCCCAGAGCCTCTTCTTCCGCTCAATGTTCACGTCGAACCTGAAGGAGGCGCAGAACCGCAGCATCGAGCTGAAGGGGGTCAGCGCCCCCGTCTTTCAGCTTCTGGTCGACTACATCTACCACGGCACCATAAAGCTGCGGGTGGAGGACCTCCAGGACACCTACGAGATGGCCGACATGTACCAGCTGATGGCACTTTTTGAGGAGTGCTCCCGTTTCCTGTCACGCACCACGGAGGTCAAGAATTGCCTGCAGGTGATTCGTTGAGATTTTCACTAGTGGAGCAATCTGCCTCTTCGAGTGCCCTGGTTTCTTGTAGTATTTACAGATGACCAGTGATGTCCCGAGGCAATATTGACGATCTGACTGGGGGCCGATGCAGGCATTTTTTAATTAATCGGTATCCGAACCACAGCCTGATTCAAAGCCCAAGCTATTTAAATTCCCACTGCCATCTAATTCATGTCATTTGCGCAAATTGTAAGATTCTGTCACACAGCAGTAAGCCTGAAGCACGTGGCTTGAAACTGCGATTGTCAGCCGTGTGGAAATTCTTTAAATCGGAAACCCAAAGTAGCCCAACAGCTACCTGCAGTGTTTGCAAATTCATCCTTTCGAGTGGAAGCAGCAAAAGAGCATCGCTTAATACAACAAATCTAATTAGGCACTTGCAGAAGAATACTGTGAAACTGCTAGGCGTAGTCAGACAAAGAATGCACCAACTCCTTCTGTATGTTTATGCATATTTAAATGTTAATTTAAGGATCAGATCTGGACTTGGAACTGGCAGATATAAATATTGAAGGGTTAGGGTTAGGGTCCACAAAAGTGGATCCGGACATCCCTACTGATGACATTTATAATAAGAGCAGACATTAAATCTTCATCTAACATAAGAAACACAACGGGTTTTGGGTTAAAACTTGATTGGTCTGAGAATGCCATACTAGCTTTTATATTCGGTCCAGTTTTCTTCCTGCAGGTGATGTGGTTGGCTGATAGGCACAGCGACCTGGAGCTCTACACGGCTGCTAAGCACTGTGCCAAGATCCACCTGGTTCAGCTCCACCAAACAGAGGAGTTTCTCAATCTGCCCCTGCGTCTCCTCATGGACATCATCAAAGGTCAGTCTTGCGCTACGACCATCTTTACCAATATGGCTGCTCACATTATGAGTGCAAGACAGCTTAACTTCCAGTATCGAAAATTTTGTAGACATTACTGGGGGTTTTTATAATCAAGCTTTCTTCAACTAATATTTTAAACTGCAAAGATTGTCTTGTGTGTCATTAATATGAGGCCGTATGGAATTGTAGAAGCTTCATGGTTTAGCAGCGAAAGGAATTATCCTGTCCGTGTAATTGTGCTACTTCTCTACTATGTTAATGATGTAGATGGGGTACCAACTTCCCAGAATCCTACTGGAGCTATTGATTCCTGGATAAACCATAACAGGGTGGAAAGACAGGAGTTCTCCAACATGTTGCTGGACAGCTTGAAGGTATGCTCTTCTGGAAAAACAAAACAGAAGTGGTCTAGTTCCACTTTATTGTGATTTGATCACAAGTGAGTAGCATCACACACACACACACACAAGTGTCTTGCTGTAGCCTTGGAAACGTTACACGTTGGTGACGTGGTATCTGGAAGTGGTTCATGCATCTTCCTTTTGTTGAAAATGTACTACTTAATGTGAATTTGGGAATTATGAAAGGGGACAGTAGAACTGTCAATGTTTCGATTAAGCTTTCAATCTGCATGTTTTCAGTAACTTTGGTTCTGCGGATAGATGTTTTATGCCTTTGATTCCAGCATTTTACTCTATTTCTATTGGTGTCCAGCCTTATACTGTATAAATCTGTGATGGCTTCCCATAGAGAATATGGAATACCATAGTGGCCCCTGACAGCTTTAAGTATAGCTCTGTCACAAAATGTAAATCTCCACAATAACCCGCTTCTCTGCTTAACGCGTACCCCTCAGTCGTCAGAGGTCCTTTTGTTCAGAACATCCCCGTTGCTAATCCTGTAGTGAAGAGACTGGCATCACCCCTGCTTCTTGACAGGTGATTGGGCGTATGTTCTTAGTGTGCTTTTAGTTAGGGAAATCCCCTGGGAAGCATTGAATCACTGCCTTTTGCCGTCTGCTATTTTGTGGGCCCGGACTCATGAAGCACTGTTACTGTTAGGGTGGCCGTATACTTCAGACGGAATTTGCGAAATTGACGTCTTTTTACCAATATGACAGTGTGGGAGACTTAAACGCTGCGGTGATCATCGTTTCGGCGCTCTGCCTATGCAGGGTCCCGAGGCCAACTTTTTCGTTTGTTCTGTTCCCACCCCCTGTCCATGATTGGCTGCAGTGTTGGTAAGCAGGACAAATTATGCATCTCCCAGCATGCTTTACGCCACGCCACAATTTAAAAAGTGTAAATTAATGTGTATTTCGGTTAATAGTAAATGTCATAACTGTGTACTGTTTGCCGTGTAATGCACGTCTTTGTTAGCATGCAACATAATGTATATTTTTAGCTTCCCTGTCTCTACCGCTTCTAGTATTCAAACAGTAGTGGCTGTAACTAAAGAGCAACTTCTATTTTAAAAGAGCTGTCATCATCTTTATTAAAATTACTCACGCACTCACCACAATATTATTATCTGCTGCATCGAAAACGTTCTGCGTTCTCTAGGATTGTGGCATGACATAGAACAAACAAGGTGGCAGCATTGCATTAAATACGAGACAGATTGTTCTCACAGACGTTCTAGGTTTTGTTCTGTCCGGACATTGTTTGAAGTATACGGCCACCTTTAAGGTGCTTTTGCATGAAATGACCTAAATCATGAGGAAGGCAAAACACCTACATGATTTAAGTGTGTATGACATAATTGTTTACATTTTTGTAGCTGAATTTGGGATGTTTCATCTCAAAACTAAAACTTTCCAGGGTTTTTTTTTTTTTTTTGCCCAGTAATTTGTTCAGGTTAGTCCTCTCTCATAAACTGTTTGCTTCATAGCTTTCGATTCAGTGCATGAGAATAATGGAAGATCATGTGATCATTGCTGTTTCACAGAGAACTTGGATTTGGTTTTTGTGTGTTGGATAGTACTGTGGAAAAAATGACCTGAAACAGCAGGCAGCTTACTGACACCTGTAAGCGTTGCTTGGAAGCTGAGTAGAAGCTTCTGTGCTTCTGGATCACTAGAATTGCGAGTCCTTCAGTTCAATCTGCCCAAATCCATTAAATCATTAAATCAGGACATTTCATTATGCAAGCTTCTGGAATATATAAAAACAAAATGTCAACTTGATGTTTACTTAGGGCTTGGGATCCTGTGGGATGTCAGCCTTAAAACGCTTCCAGAATGTTCTGTACCTATTTATCCTGCCCCTTCCCCCCCAGGAGATTGGCGAGAACGTGCACATCTACCTGATCGGCAAAGAAGAAACGCGCACGCACTCACTGGCTGTGTCCCTGCACTGTGACGAAGATGATGCCATCAGCGTCAGCGGCCAGAACAGTCTGTGCCACCAGATCACGGCCGCCTGCAAGCACGGGGGTGACCTCTATGTGGTGGGAGGGTCCATCCCCCGTCGCATGTGGAAGTGCAACATGCACACCATGGACTGGGAGCGCTGTGCCCCGCTACCACGCGACCGTCTGCAGCACACGCTGGTGTCGGTGCCCAGTGAGGACGCCATCTACTCTTTGGGTGGCAAGACCCTGCAGGACACGCTTTCCAATGCTGTCATTTACTACACGGTGCAGGACAACATGTGGACCGAGACGAGCCAGCTGGACACGGCCGTGTCGGGGGCGGCCGGGGTCAACCTGGGTGGCACCATCTACTTGCTCGGGGGCGAGGAGAACGACATGGACTTCTTCACCAAGCCCTCACGGCTCATCCAGTGCTTTGACACGGCAGCACAGAAGTGCCACATCAAGCCGTACGTGTTGCCGTTCGCCGGGTGCATGCACGCCACCGCGCACAAGGACCTGATCTTCGTGGTGGCCGAGGGCGACTCCCTGGTGTGCTACAACCCGCTGCTGGAGAGCTTCACGCGTCTCCGCTTCCCCGACGCCTGGAGCTGCGTGCCGTCGCTCTGGAAGGTGGCCAGCTGCAACGGCTGCATTTACGTCTTCCGGGACAAGTGCAAGAAGGGCGATGCCAACACGCTGAAGCTGAACCCAGCCACCTCCGTGGTGTCCGTCATCAAGGGGATCAAGATCTTGCTCACGAACTGGCAGTTTGTCTTGGCTTAATGCCTCTATCTTTCCTGTTTTTTTCCCTCTCTTTTTCTGTCTTTTTTGCCAACTTGGTATTTGCTCTCCAGACATTGCGGGGGTCTCCGCACAGGGCTTTCCACCCACCCACATATCCACCCAAATTAGCCTATCTCAGCAGATGGCACATTTCTCATGTATATAAGTGGCTTTTTGCTCCGTTTGGTCTTTTTGCAGCATGAGTCATAGTAGTTCATTTTATCAGAATATTCATTTATTATCTATCTGTTCAGTTTATTTTCCACCTCAGCTTATGTCCGGAGATATGTGTTTTGTCATTGTGAGGGCTCTTTCACCAGAAAAAAAAGCAGAATGAATTATATTACCGTCCCTCTCAGATGGAAGAGGTTGCTTCTGGTGTTAGATAATCAAGGACACATTCCCCGAAAGGCTGCAGGACATCCACACATAGCCACTAACCACAAATTAAAGGCCTCAGATCAGACTCCGGGGTCCAATGTGCAGAATCGTGTTTCCAACATGTTTTTAATTATAATTTTTTTTTGCTTAGTTAAAAATACATCCACTCTTATCGTTATGGAAAACAGTTCTGTTGCTGATCTGCCGTGTTTTTTCAAACGTTCATGTGTATATTACATATCTCGATATTTTTCATTTGTATCACCCAGTATTTTTCAAAACCATCCGTTATTTCAGCTAATTGGCACAGTTTATGCATAAAGTACTTTAGGGGAATATGTTTTGTGGAGTTTTGTCACTTGAAAAACTACAAGGCATAGAAACGTAACATTGTAGGACATAGCATAGACTGTTACATATGTTTAGATTAATTTAATCCTTTAATGCTTACCAACTGACTACATAAGTTTTAAGAAACAAAATGTTTGCTGTACTGGACTAAAATCATAATGCTAAGACCGGTATCTCACAAAAGTGGAGCATTCCTATGAAACCTTTCATAAGCTAAAATGGTGTAAAGCGAAGAAGCAATGACCATTACAGTGGTACCTCAGTTCTCAAACTCATTAGAACTTGAATTTCTTAAAAGTAGAACCAACCAGTTCGAAAAAAAATTACCTAGAGCTCGATCTGAATCTCAGAACTCAAACCGTGAACTATTTGTACGCGCGGGGAAATGAGTCACGTGGCACGTCTCTCAGCGGAAACAAAGGGTAACACTTCTTGCATGTTTACGCTAGCTGAATACATATATTTAGACAGTAAAAATTCATTTAGACAATGATAGACAGTAACAGTAATTATATAATAAAATACATTTAAAAATAAAGATTTCTTATTCATTATTTTAATATTAATAATAAACCATTAATACATTTAATTATAATAAATAGAACGGAGACAAAGGCGCAGACGTCAAGGTATTGGGGAATACGGGGTTTAATTACAGGTAAGGCAGGCAAAACGCAGATGGACAATACAATGACCGGACTGGGGAAACCAACTGAAACGCGGACGAAATACAGAGGACTAATGACAACAACCAGAAACAGCTGATCAAACGAGGATTCCACACGGGGTTAACGAGGGGGCGTGGCACATGGAAGGAGCGGAAGATCGGGGCAGGACACATTTTTTTTTACTTTACACATTGTTTGGATAGATTTATTTTCTTACTTTACGAATTACTCTTTTGATAAATGCGCTTAGATGTGTTTAGTACAGTATATGCTCTTCTTGTTTTATCCAGTTCATTTTGTGTTTAAATGCAAAAAAAAAAACATTTAGGTGTGTTTTTTGGGGGCTGGGAACCAATTAATTAGTTTTCCATTATTCTATCACTTTTTAGGATTCGATCTGGAATTCTGAACGGATTAAGTTCGAGTTCTGAGGTACCGCTGTAATTTATATAGTAAAATTTTTAAAGAATTTCCAGACCCAAAAAATAACCTATCAAATCATACCTAATAACATTAACATATAGTAAAAGCAGGAATGATAATGGTAAAACCTAGATGGTATCACCTACTACACACTTAGGCTATATGGTATAGCCTAAATAATGATTTAAAATGTCCAGTATAGTAAATATATAAATGAGCAACATAGTTGAACCATTATCAATATCATTATCAAGTAATATGTATTGTACATAATTGTATTTGTTATACTTTTATATGACTGGTAACGCAATAGGTTTGTTTACACCAGCATCACCACAAACACGAGTACTGTGTTGTGCTACGATGTCGCTAGGCGAAAGGAATTTCTCAGCTCCATTATAATCTTATGGGACTACCGTCGTATATGTGGTCCGTCATCGACCGAAACGTTCTTATGCTGCACAGGCCTGTGTGTCAGTAATCGGCTCACTGATTGGCTCGCTTTGAGTTTCTTTCAGCTATAGGGAAAACAGATGTAGGGCTAATACAGGTCTTTTGACAAAGATAAACGGGGTAAAGCAAACGTACATGAAGTGGGGATACCTGTATAAGTGCATTAAAGGATTTTAAAGCTCAGAATGTTTCAAGTTAACACTCAAGTATGCTCTGCATGAAAGGACTTCCGTTGGCTCTGGTGTGGCAAACACTGAGTTTCTAATTGACATGTTTCTGTGTAAGTGATGCACAGAGCAAATTTGAGGGTTTGTAACTCGTTGTGACCCGTGGTAATGTGGTTTTGTTTAAATTGCCAGATAGTATTGTCAAGGTTGTACCATTTGATAGGCAGGGAACCATCTTTCCATTACCAGACCAGAGACATGATGGGAATAGTAGAAAGTGTTATGTGGGGTTTGTGAACGTTCATTCCCAAAATCATGCTGATCTACCTTCCATACCAGATTCTCACTAACAATGCCATGTTTTTTTTGTAAATTATGAGCCCATGGGTTGAAGAAAGTGATTGTGAGAAGGTGGCAAAATATCTACAATGTGAGTAAGTATTCCATTTCATGAAACACCTGTACGAAAAACATTGAGTAAAGGCGGCCTCATTATCCCTTCCATGCAGCGTACTTGTGCTTAATCAACAGAACACAGGATTCTTGTTCTTACCCCTGATACGTTTACATCAAGTAGCCGGCGGTTCTCGTCATGCTGGCTATTTGCTACAGCAGGTCTTATTCCCGTGTCTGATCCACTTGCTCAGTATGGATGGTGCTTGATTTGATAATACAGTGGTGCCTGTGGATCGGGAACACAATCCGTTCCAGGAAAGTGGTCGTGAACCTATTTGTACGCACACCGAAGCAATTTTTCCCATAAGAAAGCATTGAAATTCGATTAATTCGTTCACAAATCTGTCAAATAATGATTTTTTTTGGTTTTTAAAGTAAAAGCTTTAAAGAAAAACACAATATAGTGTGGCGACGGGCGGACCGAGGCATCGCGGGAGCAGAGAGAGACATGGAGACTTGCATGCCGGGGAAATCACGCTCTTTAAAGTCATTAAAGCCTTTGTATTGTTGTTAATGTTAATAGTTGCGTTTCCCTATTGTCACACGTGTGTTTGCCCGTGTCTTGTGTGTACTCAGTCCGATCCTTGCGTGTATTTAGCGTGTGTAAATCTTCCACCTTGTGTGCGTCTTGCTGTTCAGTGTCTTACAACCTTGTTTCCCGTCTGTGTATGTGGGTTCGGTGCTCGTTGGGTGCCTGTTGTGGTCCTTCTATTTACAATTGCATGTGGGGCATGCTGGGACATGCTGGGGCATGCTGGGACATGGGCTCCGCCGGTGCTACACTAGTAAAAACAAACAAAAAAAAAAGAATCTGGTCAAGGAATCTGTTTGTCAACCAAATTTTGCATGCGAACCAATGCATTTTTGTCACTAAATTTTTGGTCGTGAACCAAATTGTTCGCAGACCACAGCATTCCTGACCCGCAGGCACCACTGTATTACTTAAATTAATAATAATTAAATCCACATTTAACCAGTGCCATAGTTTTAGTTAATCTTTCAATACATTGTGTACTGTATACAATATTTTTACAAGAAAAAGAAACAGTAGCAACTCCTAGATAGTTTGAGCTACTTTATATCGGAGGCAGTATTAGATTAAATACTGGGTGGGCTAAAAGTAAGTATAGTTTTTATTTTACAAAGTAAAGGTTCTGTTTTATAAAGTAAAGTTTATTTTACAGAGTTATTTTTAAAAGTAGGTATACACTTATTTTACAGTACTGGTAACATCTATCCACAGTGTTTGATTGCGCAATGTGGCAGCATGACACCCATGTGACATTGTAAAGGAGAAGGTTTTAGAGAGGAAGGACATTGAGGCTAACGGGGACAATGTTGATGGAGGACATTTTGAACACCTAAGAGACTAAAAGTGATCCAATCGGTGCTGTAAAATAAAAACTGTATATCTACTTTTGGCCCACCCTGTATATTCAAAATAAGAAACTTTAAGCATATATACATAGATATTTACAAACCTTAGTGTGCAGTGTACTTTAAAGTGTGATATAGAGACGAGGGATCAGGGTGACATTGTGCGGTCTTTTAAAGAATAAATTAACTTAAATGATCTGAAAGTATAGTAAATAACCAAACTAATTCAGTCTCCCCCCCACAACTAAATTTAAACATAGCAAAAGCCACATATATAATTTTTTAAATGACCTATACTCTTAAGGGCAAGCAGTTGTCTACATATGCAATTTGGAGTGATGCTTCCCACCAATATTGGTTTGTTTAGTTGTATTTAGCAACATGCTGCAGGCAGATATGAGTATTATTCGGTGCTGAATGTGATCGTGGCATGTTGAGGAAAATATTCTAGGCCTTTAGCTTTGGTATTTACACCAGGAAAACTCCACATCTCCTAAGAAAATAGTGATACTGTGTGTTACTGTAGCAGCACTGTTGTTTGAAAGGAGTTGCTACACCCAAGGATTGGCTGGTGATGTATTGTTGGGTGTATGTAGTGATTCTCAATCTAAAATATACAGAAAGAGTCAGAAGAGTTAACACCAAGACTGGGCTAATGATTACACGAGTGCTGTGTTTTCTCATTCCTCTGACTTTATTCCAGGCATTTTTACTCTAGACCTTTTTTTTACCCACAATCCAGCAGCGCTAACACAGCAGAATTATTGAACAAGCCCCAAGTTTTTTTTCCTCCTGTCATTTATTTTAATCACTCTGTAAATGAATCGGTTTTCAAAAAAAAAAAAAAAAAAAACTCGAGGTGGAAAGGAAACCCCCCACCCCCACTCAAAAGATATGTGTAAAAGAGATCGCCTAAGACACACTCGGCCTTAAAATCATTCTCACGTAGCTTAGTTTCACTTTGACTGATCAACTCTCTTAGCCCACTGGCAACAGAATTACTGGGAAGAAAAAAAAAACTACAAATTCTTCATCCAAAATCTACTTATACTTCTAATAAGCATGTAAACAAAACTTCAGCCCGGTTCTGCTTGAAATGAATCATATCACCGCTGTTAAACAGGAGGTGAAGCAAGCAATTAAAAATAAAGCGCACGCATATCTAATGTTACGCAATCAAAAGATAAGACAGCAAAAGAATCTTTTTCAAATCGTAGTTTTATATAAGTGTTCTATTGACTAAGCTAGTGTCCAGGTCATAGCAGAATATCAAGCCAATATCACGCCTGACTGCTAGTTTAGAATTTCCCTGTCACATCCACCGGGTGCTCCATGCGCGTACACAAGCCAGTGTCACGCTCCACAGTTATGGTATCACCCGAACGGCTTAAATCCTTTGGAAGACTTATACCACCCTTGCTGATATTTTTTCTACTTTGAATAAAGAAGAAATTACCGTCCAGCCAGAATTTTGCATCTACTTTGCATTAAAGGATATTCCAACCACCAGCTGATGTATCTCAGCCTCACAGCTGGCTAGGCAGAGTCACATGACCTCAACATTTTAAGCTGTAGGAGTCTTGTCAGGACCCGAGGACCTGGACATAATTAGCAGGGTAAAGGCCGACTTGTCCATTTTGTAGCTGCCCTTTACACCAGCCCTGCTCGTCCTCCTCCCCCAGCTTCAGAAGCTCATCTCCTGAGGAGTGCAAAGAATGTTGTGAGACCTTAGGTATGAATCCATTACATCCGTGGGGTATCCAATCTAAACATTGCAACAGAACACAAAACTCACAATTTTGAAACGAATAAACTACGGTATCTCCATAACTTACCTCCTTTTTTATGATAAAAATCATACATAAACATACTACACCAAAATTAAAACAGTCGGCCTCTGGATTAATAACAGAAATCCACTGAGACAAAGAAAAAGAATTTTAAAATGTTACACTTCGCGCCACATTTAAAATGGATTAAAGCATACACACTTAATCACTGATCTTGGATTAAGACAAATAGAACAGAAACCAAGTACTTCACAGCAAGCAAGAAATATTCTTGAACCACTTAACAAGCATAAAAGACATTATACACACTGTCATGTCATTCATATTAATGCATGACATAGTGAATAGTCATTTGTATGTTGTGACAGGCTATGGCAGCTGATATAAGCTTTCATGCCCTGTTATAACATACTGGCAGGTCAATGTTATGAGCAATTATGTAAGTAAAGGGTTACTAAAGAACACAATGGAATTTATTTGGATGCATAATTTCATCCCAAAATATTGCAAAATTAGTCATTCTCTTCTAATAACTATATAAATGCATGCAGACGGAAGCATTTCTGCATTTATAATCAATGAACCTTGATTTTGCTTCTGGTCGCCAGCACGTCATCTGCGGTCGAAATACACCAGGTGAACAGGTGGCCGTCATGCGTGTTGTGTCTGGGTGCCATTAATCAGCATTAGTAGGCATTAATACCTGCTTTAAAGCTCAGCTCATCAGCCTCCTGCCCCATGTAATCGTACAATGCTTTCACTTGCACTCCTGCTACCTTCTCAGCCTCATCCTTCACCCCGTTTGCCGCAACGCACTTCTGGGGGCTCTCCTCATCAGACCAGTCAGAGGAGTAGTCTTTACCAGCCCTGATTAAAACAGAAAAGGTCATAATTCATCCCCCTCTGATCAACAGGCCAGCTTACTGGAGGCCCAATGGTGGAGATCACCTATCAGAATTTTCCCCAAAGAAACCTGAGTGAGGAATGACCGCGTGTTTACAGAATGAGGGTGTGGTGTGCAGTTACCTGGTGCTCTGCGGGGGGGTGTGGAGCGTCTCCTCCTCTGCTGAAACCACATTGGTCAGGGTGACCGTGTCTGCAGCTTGGCTGTTCCTCTCCTTTCTGCTGATTGCCTGGCTGGTCTCCGGTGACCATTCCTGGGGGGTACATCCAGTTAAATCACACAGGCCGATGACTTGACGTTATCTTCTTCATGAGCTGGGACTGTTCGACAATGTTAAACCAGTGAAGAGTAGATGGTGCAACTGTACCCCGAATATATAATCAAAAATTATCCTGAAGAGTTTGTTGCATTATGATTTTAGCTGTCTAAAATGAGCCATATAAATGATTCACTTAAAACTTGCTACGGTGCTCTCAAAATAACCGGGATATTGTAAGTAATATTTGACACAAATATAGACACTACAGCACTGTGACTACAGAGATGGCCAAAGAAAGCTGAATGACAAACAGGCAGTGGCATGTGGACGGCCTTCCTTGGCTGCTTGTGGTCTACAGGCAGTCTTAGCCCACAGGCCGGTTTCTGGTTCCACTTTGGGAGGCAGACTCTGGGCGATGCTTGGATTCCGAAAGCCAGCCGCCAGCAGTGAAAATAAGGTGGTCTTCAGTTACACAGACAAGGCCAACTGTATACAGTCCAATAAGGAAAACCTCCAAATTTGTTGATAATTCTATAGAATTTAAATTTTCTGTACATAAAAATGTTCTGTATATAATAAAAATATATATTTACATACATTAATACGGTACATAACACGTATAATAATAACTGACTGAAAAGTGTACTGCAATTCTGCTTAACCTTTCTCCGTACGTTGCACACAGCCTTATTTATGCAAAGAACGTTACACGCTATTCACCTCGAACTGCGGCCAGTTCATGCTCATTCCCGGTCCGTGTGTATTCCTCCACCATCTCAGGTCCTCCGTGTCATTGGCTGCGACTATTGCCTGGCCCAGGTCTCGGTGAAGGGACCGGAAGCTAGAAGAGGGGCCCATTCCAGGATCACATGTTGCCTGTTCTCATGCTTGTGCACATTTCAGGTCAGCTTCAGTACAGCCACTTTAAACAAACACAGCTAAGGACAGGATGCTCCGAATCCCCAATTAGTGTATTTGCCTTTTCTAAGGCGCTTTTGCCAGAAAATTCAGGCAGGGCTTTAACAATAATTATGGCTATAGAGGTATTTATCGCTACAGATATGTGACCATACTCAGTAAGAGAGGATTTTGTTCGATGTTGATGAAGGTAAAATTAGGACAGATGCTAGATAAAATACAAGATGCTTGATAATATCTGGGATGATGGAATGTGCACTACAGGCAATATGTGGCCGACGTATAAATATTTTTAAAGGAGCTCCTGTAAAATCCAAGATGTGCGTTAAGGCTTTAGAAAGTGTTAATAAGGTCTTACCCAGTAAGAGTGGCATGTACAATATTATCTAACTTAACCAAAAAATGACAGAAGTACAGATCCGCTTCAAAAGCAGGTGGAAAAACTAGCTGGAGTACAGGGTCACATCAGCATGCAGGAAATATACACACGTACGTTTTTATCATTTTCCCCACAAAGGAGTCAGAATCCTGTACCTATCAACGCTGGAGAGGTCCAGGTGCTTGTGGATGTCCAGCAGGACGTCCTTAAAGAAGCACAGCCTCTTCTGCTCGGCCTCCTGTGTGGTTTCGAACACCTGCTCCATGTCCTCCATGTAGCGAGGGTTGTAGCGGCTCAGCTCATCCAAGGCCTTCTCGTAGCGGTCTTTGGCCTGTGGAGCACAGCGACCTGGTCCAACACTGAACACTCCAGGAAGTTCACTGAGGCTGTACTCAGGTAGGCTGAGAAGCTGTTTCACTATTCCGTCCCAGCATTATCTATGAATTATTGCACTTAATTATGCATTACTTATTAGGTATGTATTAGTGGTTAGCTGTAAAGAATGACAGGAATTCAAACATGACTGAATTTGTACATTTATACTGGATGAACATTTATTTTATAGCATTGATTTTTGTTCAGAATAAAAGAAAATGTTTGCAGAATAAAAATAATGCAGCAGGACTACTGGACGAGCTTCTTTATAACTAAAATGTTTTCAGTAACGTGTATTCAATTTTTAAATGCCAAAACCCCCTTAGGGAGACTTGCCGTTTATTTTATTTGACATTGGTATAGTATTTCTGGTAGGGCCTCCAGGACACAGCTGGGAATCAAGCCTAAAATCCCAAACATGGCGTCCACACTGGTAACATGAGCCGCCTCACTGGCAGGATACGAACCGCAACTGGTGGCAGAGATGTAGAAGCCAGATATATTGGACCTGACTTCCCCATGCAGTCACAGCAACAAGCAAACTACTTGGGGCTTTATTTTCACGGTGCTTAAATGAGTTCCTAATGGACCTTGAAAAGCTGAAATGAGGGTGATACGTAGTGAAGTATGACTGCGCACGTCTCCTTATCTTATTAGAATTATTTGCAGGAATGCCAGTGCTCAAAGATAACTAGGCTGATAAGTGAACCAAGTAAAGGATTAAACATTGTTGACTGAGCACCACCCAGCAGTGTGCATGAATCAGAATATTCAGTACAAAACTATTTTTAGAATAGCGAGATAAAATAAAACCCTTTAACTTTCTTTTTTTTTTTTTTTTACTAAAATATATGCCATATTGGTTCATGAGTCAGTGTTAGAAACTGAAGGGGTTTGAGGATTATGTTTTTAAAGCTTGTGGAGAGTGATTTTTAAAAATTATTTCAGACTTGAAGGATTTACATTATCTTCTTAAGCTGAAATCACTGCTCCATGGCTTGGAGCTGCTGATGTCCAACTCACTTTCTCAGCTTCCTGGTTGCATTTCTCCACCCGGTCCTGCAGCTTGCGGACTTCTTCTTGAGACTTGGAGGGGTCGGCCTTGGCGTGGGTCTCCCGACTCACAGCGGTACGTTCCTCCTTCCGTGTTTGGTGATAGCCCTTCTTGGATGCCTCCACCTTGCGCAGAGGACACATTAGTAAGGGAGACAACATGAAGGAGTTTCAAATGATACGATCATGGATCAGCCCCAACAGAATCAAAGCACCAAAATATAGTATAATATAATATTTCATAGTTGTCCAGAGGTCTCACCTCCTTGAATTTCCTGACCCATGGTTTCTGCGCCTTCCGGAAGCCCTCTTCAGCCTCCTTCGTCTCCTTGAAGCCGCCAATCATCTGCTTGTGGAATGCGTCCTTCTGCCAGTTCCTCACCTTCTCGCTGTCTTCCACCATTAGATGCTCCTTGAGCTCAAGGTGCATCTCGCTCAGCTGGTCAGCCGCATTCATGAAGGCGTGCCAGGCCTTCTCTAGAGTGCCATACTGGGGACCTTCAAAGAGCACACCAATGTCACTTCACACATCAGACCATCCAAATGCCTACAACAAGCAGATGTCAATATGCCAAACCTTTTCAAACCTTTACTCAAGGTCTACATTGTAACAATATATAAAAGATAGAGAACTTTTCATTTCTCTCAAACATCCTTGTTGTCATGTTCGGTAAATCATTCCTTTTCAAGCAGAAAAACAAATAACCCAACATGAGCTTAGAAAGTCTCTCCAGGCATCCGACAGTAACCAGTGCTGGGTTCTTCTATTATTTTACTATAACATTCACTTAAACTCATGTCAAAATTACTCAAATTATACACTTAAAGGTTTCCTCCTGCATTGATTCCTTGCTATCGATGCCTCCACGTAGATGAATGGCTAGTGTCTAAAACAGCTACACCACAGCTACACCACAGCTACACCAGACACATGCATATTAACTCCCTCTTAGCTGGCCGGCCTGCTTGCACCATCGGGCTACTCAAAATCATCCATAACATTCTCAAATGTTTAACCTGCCAAAAATGTTAATGTTTCTGGCCGCCTGGTCTCGTTCCTCTGCCTACTGGTCCGTATCAGATCTAAGATCTTGGCATGCACATGAAGGGCAGCTGTGGAACAGTAACTTGTCAGAACATTACACCCATTCAAGTTTCAACTAAAAATGGGTCAACTTGTGTTTAAAGGCTGCAATTTCACTGCTAACCTGTATTGGATTGGAGGGTATGGAAAATGAAATGCAGTGACCACTATTGGAGGGTATGGAAAATGAAATGCAGTGACCACTATTGGAGGGTATGGAAAATGAAATGCAGTGACCACTATTGTTTCTAGCTTTATATTATTAACAGTATCACACTGATTCTTCATTTAGAATGTGTTTCAAAAAGATATACATGCATTTTTAAATAATACCATTGCAGTGGAACTCTATTAATCTTGTTGTATGGTATGCAGATAAGATGATGTTATCATTGGTAAAATGTAAAAGAAAAAAAAAACGTTGTTTCTTGTTTTATCTCCTGAGAAGTTTCTACCACTATTTGCAGATTCATTAGAGTGTAAATAATCTCAGACCTGGAATTACTGCTTCTGGAAACCAGTCATTCCTCACCTTTCTCAACTACGCTCCTCCATTTCTTAGCCCAGTCCGTCAGCTGCTGGGCATAACTCTTCTCAATCCTGGCCCGTTCCTGGAAGCAGCTGACCAGCTCATTGCACAGCTTGTGGCCGTCGTCTATTCGTTTCACTGTACGCTTATAGTTCCCTGGCTGTGGTGGAATTGGTTTAGTGAGGAACAGAACATATGATGTGATGAATATGACAATATTAACATTGATTTACATAGCAAATAAATATTCAACACTGTGCAAATCTTATGCGGTCAAAGAAAATGTTTAAGGCTATTTATCTGGGTAGTAAGTGTATATTACCTCAGAAAAAGAAACACAATTTAACATTAGAACATATGCAAATGAGCAGTGAAAAGAAAAACATTTTCCTGAACATTTCTTCGGTTTCCCAGTAAGTTACTGACATCTTGTTGGACAGCTAGATAAACTCCGTTTTTGTTTCCAAACCTCTGCTTAGTGGGACCGCAGCCATTCCGTGTGTTAAATTTCAAGGCCAGCTAAATTAATTAATTATTTGATTTATTAAGTATTTCATCAACCAATCAATTAATTAATTTGACGACATATTGATTTTCCAAATATTCAAAAATTACATGGGTATATTGGATGATTGCTGCAAATACTACGGCAACTTTATTGAAGTTTTGAAATGACTTAGCTGACACACTGAAAGTCATAATATAATAGTTTTACAACAACATGTTGATTATTTAAGAAGCGTTACCTCAGAATTTTGCACAGCATTATGTGTCTATATACAGGGATGCACAACTGGTATGCCAGTACGCATTCACCTTTAAAAGTGATACATGCGGCAATCGATTGTTGTAACAGCACAAATGTGTACTTGTTTTATGTGCATTTGTGCTATGACAAGAAATTATTGTGCATTTTAACCTTTATATGCTAATTCATACTTCCATTTGCAGTATAAAGGTTAAAATGCATGGTGATTTCTTGTCATAGCTGTGTCATAGCACATATGCATTTGCGCTGTTCCAACAATCGACTGCCACACATATCGCTTTTAAAGGTGAATGCATACTTGCATACCAGTTAGGTGCATCTCTATCTATCTGTATATTAGATATTGTCTTTCTGAAATTGCCTTTGCACCAAGCCCCAGTCTACACTGAAATTCTATATACTGTCTATTTGAGGCAACAAAATAGGTCAGTAATGTTGATTAATATAAAGGATGTCAGTAATGTCACAGTACACCAAAGGCATTCCAGCTCTGCAAGTTAAAAAAACAAAACAGTCCTGTCAAAAGCATTCTTGAAAGTGCAAGGAAGGGGAGACGGCCACCTTGTGCTCAAACCATTACAAGGAAGCATTGATTAGCATCCCCGGCTACTGGATTCTGGTTGCTGGATAGGGGAGGCTAAAAGCTACAAGAAAAGTACCCAATGGCTGGCCTGCATCTGGGAACTACAGCCGCTCTTGCTTTGCAAATTATTATTCTGGCCAAGGCAGCCACCATGCGAGTACACTGCCACGCTGGACCATGCGAGTACACTGCCACGCTGGACCATGCAAGTACACTGCCACGCTGGCCATCGAACCTGCACAGACAAGCATGTGGCTCCTTACCTCCCAGAAACTGTCATAGCTCCCCATGTCTCTCAGGTCTTCGCTGGAAGACATGGCGGGCCTGCCCTTGCAGCACGGAATTTTGGTGGATTTCTGTTAAACCCAAGCAGACGTCGACATGGTCAATGACACAGTCAAACGTAATGCGTATAGCAGGCTTGGGCGATATGGGATAGACATAACATATCGCGGTTTTGTCTTCAGACAGGATCGATTCCTTTTCATGTCGGTTTATGAGACTACAGACCCTCCACGGGTTACGATGGGGGTCACGTTCCGATAAACCTATCATAAGACGAAAATACCATAAGGCAAAAATGTTAATACAGTACACCTAACCTAACAAACATCACAGCCTAGCCTAGCCTACCTTAAACATGCTTAGAACACTTACTTACATTAGCCTACAGTTGGGCAAAATCATTATCACAAAGCCTATTTTATAAAAAAGTGTTGAATATCCCAAGAAATTAATTGAATAATATACTGAAAATTAAAAAGAGTGGAATTGGAATACCATAATACGGACCATCGTAACCCAGGGAGCATTTGTATTTTGCAAGTTACTGTAAATGAAAATAGTTCTCTTACTTTAAAACATACAGCGCTATATGATAATAAAACCAAAAATAAAAACATACCAGCATACTGTTTTGAGGTGGTTGAAACGGTTCATTGTGTTGCCATCAGATGTGCAAACTTTATGTAGCAAATTTGGCAAATAACTTGTTTGTGCCGTGTCGGTTTCGGAAAATCTAGACAAGTTCCATATTACTGATATCAAATTCTTTTTAGGGACCAGCTCCTCGATATCGTCCATGCCATTACATTACCAAATAGGGAATTGTGCTGCATGTTGCGCATTGCATGTTGGGATGAGGGCATGAAATGGATAGAGGAAGAAATCCAAGGCACTGCCTACTGCTTGCTATTACTGGTTTATTGGTGTGTTGAAACGGATCTGGCTGACAAAACAGCTTTAGATGTGTGTATGAGCCATAGAACTACCACTGATAGTAGCCTGCAACGGTGCACATTCTAACGACCTTTCTGTAAAGGCAGAACATGGAAACATTTTAATCACTCATGATCTAACGTCATCAAATCGCACACCCTTAGCATATAGTTTACCTAACACCAGCAGGGGCAGGAAGAATCATCAAGACAGGCCTCTACCAGGAATCTCAAATTTATAAAACTACTGACAGTATTAATGTCAGTACTCCACCACTAAGATGGTTAGTTCTGGCCTCAGCTACCTTTTTCTGTTTTCTTCTTCTAAAAATTCTCCATGTAACAACTTCACACAGGTTTAGAATGTAGTCGTGTCTGTTATTCATAAACGCTGTTGGATAAATACTTTCTTTGTGCTATTGGTTTGTGACTTGAGAAATATGCACTGAAAAACCAGATGTGTTTTGCCGTTTACATTTAGAACCTTAAAAGCTTAGTGGCTGTTAGTCATTTTATTTATTTTACACTACAAAACAGTACAAGGAAGGACTTCTTGATTCTGTCTTTACTGATTAAATACAAAACGCACTACAAAGTTGTGAATATTTGAGGGTAATTTCTGCTGCTGTTATGGCTGATGCTAATGCATTTTTCATCAACCTTTGTTTCAGTATCACTCAATTGTTTAATTTAATAAAAACTATTCCCCCCTCCTCCCCCCATAAATAAATAAATGAAATGGGACCATTCAGCAACACCTGGATTGTTTTTAGAACCAAGAATACTAAGTAAGCACTTTAAGACATTACTTATCAAAATCCAGTGTGTCTGCAGGATATTACTGTGAGAGCTTTAATTCCGTCTCCCTCATGATGTATCCTTGTGTGACATTAGCACATTAAAATCCCTTGATACTATCCTATAAACAACCTTCTCCATTGTATGAGCCACACTGCAGGCCTCAAGCAGAGAGTTCTTTCCAGAAACAAACAGGAGGTTGCAGCTGGATGGCTGGAAAGTGTGGTGGTGAGAGAGGCATTTCCCACAGTCGTGGTGAAAGGGGTGGATTTAAAAGAGGTTCACTTGAGAAGGTATTGCTAATTAAGGAGTGAACATTTTCAGTTAACCATACAGTGGAATGGACAGGTTTGGAGCAGGGAATGAGCAAACGACATTTTATGTTTCCCCAACAGGAAAATTCAGTGTCAAAGGTAAAAATAGGTCCCTGCTTTCAGTCCACACTACTGTGATCTGTCCTTATGTTTGACAGAGCAGATGGCCAACAGCATAATGAACCTAGGTGCAGCACAGCCAAACAGGGAATGGGATTTTTAATGTGAAACTTAGGAGTTCATTCTGATTATGTGCCCCAAACACTGACAGAAAGTATATATATTGTGCAATTGTTATGCAATGGGCAAAATAAAATCTTAATTCCCGGTTTAATTAGCATATTGGACAGACTATGCTTTAAGAGGGGGAACCAGTCTATATTTGCTATAGGATACATGACAAACACCACAGAATCCCAAGGAACTCAGTATTTCTACTCTAAACAAGCCTCATAGACGCATGAGTAGTGCCATAAAGGAGGGGGGGGGGGCAGGGGATTTGTCTGGGTTGCAGACCTAATATAATATGTTTACATATGGCTCAACATTTCTAGTGGTGCCCCTTCTCATGACTATAATAAGGACCAAATCTGCATCACTGCGAAGCATTTAGCTGTCTGACATAATGCTGCCTCCCGTCCTTCCCATCACTGCCTCAGCAGTTTTCCTTCACCTGACACATAACAGTAAATTGCTGTTGTCCATATGCGAAGCTGCTATTAACCTTAAGTGGCTGACAACCACTTGCTGTATCTTCTAATGGGCACTGCAGACCCCCCCCCCCCCTGAGAATGCAGTGGTATGCAAATTCATTTTAATCCGAGAATGGATGTGGTACATAGCTTTCATATCTCCTTATTTTTGCAATGTCCTTGAAAAAATTATTTCCCTTAAAACAAGCGATTAAAAATTAAACCTATGATTTAACTTTTAAGTTTCACTTTGGCTAGAATAAAGCTCCAGTAATGCTTAAAGGGGACACTGACAGAAATGGCATCCATGTTCTCTGATGCTGAAAAATGAAATTTATGTAACAGCTACTTAATTTTGAACAAAATGATGTTTAAGTGTCCAGAATACAGAAGACAATATAATAGTTGACAGCAAAACTAATGACAGCTACTTATACCATGTGATTTTTTTGCAGTTACTATAACCTTTGGCAAAGGACATAAAACCAAATATTTCCAGTAAGGAAGCCAGCAGATACTTATACAAGATGAAAATCAAAAATAGACCCAAAAACACTTAGACATCAATTTTCTCAGCCAAACGTGCAAACAACTGGATGGTTGGCTGTAGCAGCACTGAGAACAGAACAAGTTATTTAGCTTAATTTCATAATTCAGGCAACTTAGGGTTAAAAAAATAAAACTTACCCAAGCCAAAGTAAAGAAATTGTTAAGCTTCCTCCTGAGACTCCTGGGATTGTTGCTGTGTTTCCCTGGTTCAGATGGAGAAAGCAGGAACACAATAAACAGAAGAAACAGACCAGCAGTCCAGTTCCCCCTTGAGATCAGAGCATGGCACAGACTCCAGGTTAATGTACCCACAACAGCTAAGAGGTGGGAGATTTTGAGCTGAAAGCTGAAATACCACATGCAGAAGCGTTGGGAAGCCCATCAGAAGGCTGCTGGTGAAACTATGCCAGAGCCTCCTGAGAGCAGTCCTGCTTAGGTGAGAGTGACTGCTCCTCAGAAATAAAAGTGCGCTAAAACCGAGGCACAGGAAGAATGGGACGAAAACCTCACTGGTGCCTCAACTCATAAAGCATAAGTCACCATAGCAAAAAAAAGATGAAACATAATAGGGCATAACAGATTCAAAATGTGAGCAGCCAGGATCCTTCAAAAATATACAGGACAAAAGGAAGATACAATAGCAGATTTTGAATAGACCGATTGTTCTTTTATTCTAAATCATTTCTATTAGAAAAATTACAAATCTGCATTTAATATTAGAGGAGATCAACACTGTTCTCTCCCAAACAGGAAGGGAGTCCCAAGGGAGCCCCCCAATACCCCCTGGAAGTTAAATCTGTCCTTAAGGGGACTGACAATCTCAGATAGGTGATAATGGCAGTTGCTCTGACATCAATAACCTCTCTATGTTCACCATATGTGAAACAGGGTTTTTTTTTTTTATATACCTTACCATGTCATTCATGTATCATACTCACTGCTGGCTACAGAACAGGATATTAATGACACCAAATATGTTTTCATAAATTACAAAGCAATCTATGCCATTTATCTTGCACATATATTGAGCAGAAAATTTTCCAAAAAAGGTAAAAAAAATAATAATAATAATAAAAATTTTACATTTTAAAAGTACTGAACAGAAAATGAAGGTAAAATAACAGAACACCTGGTGAATCATACAGTATAGTATAGTATAGTATAGTATAAATTCATTCGGTACTACATTTACATATACTGATATAACTAATAAAACACTGTAACAGCCAGAAAGACTACAGGCTGTATCTTATGTTATATATCACAAGTGTTGTTCATGTGGAGGTTGCATGTTTTCCTTGTTCCAGATGCAATATCTTCAAACTCTCTCATCCCATTGATCAGAGACATGCAGTTTAGGAGAATTTCTGACGGTAGGTGTATATCATGGTATTGTGATTAAGATATCTAGGGCCGGAAAAGAAGCAAAAACTCCAATTTATACAAAAGAAAGTAATCTCCCTCTATAGTTCTCATATACAAGTTAGAGTCACAACACAAATGTAAACTGAAAAATATGGACCACATTCATGGTCTGTAGTGGGACACCAAGGACCTATGTCGCCCCCACACCGGTTTTGTAGTGAAGTGTCCATGATGCTGCCACCTCAGTGTGTAAATAGAGCTACTGTTCTGTCCTGCGTATCTGAAATCTCTGGGTCATTGGCGATACAAAGGGATGCTTTGTTCAACTCAGTCTTTCTTCCAAAAGTGTAGCAAAAAAGTACACAATGTTTCTTCAGTCTCATCTTCCAGCTCATTAACTCATTCCAAAATCAAGTTGAATATCTACATAGCAATATTTTTTGTGCAATAACAAAGAAACACATATAATTTTCTGCTGAATAAGTTCCATTAAGGAAGTTCTGAGGTTTAATTTAGATAAACCATAGTCCAAACATGAATGCAGCCAAATGTAGCCAGAGAACTTGGATGACAGAGAGTAGAACGGAAAATCCTGCTTTAATATCAAAGACCTGCTGGGAACCACAGACCTAGAGGCAGATGTTCATCTCAAACCCCAGCCCTTGAATATATAGTAAGTGGGACTCTCTGGAGTTACAAGTGACAGACAAGGGACCGTCTTCAATATGCGCTCTTCACTGAGGAATTAACAAAGTACATGCTAAACTGCTGAAAATTCAAAGAGTTATTTCTCCCAATTCACTCATCCACTTCCCATAACCCCTTATCCAGCATAGCTATGGTGATCTTGAAACTTTCTCCATAAAACACAAGGCAGAGAACACCCTTGACAGGACACCAGGAGACTAAATTTCAGTAAATATACCTTAAAAGTGAACATAAATCACCAGCATTATATTTTAGCGCCGTTTGCACACTGCTGAACATATCAACAAGCATAAACATTGCATACAATGGTCTTTACAATGCACAGAGGCACCTGAATCATTCCTCTGTTACAGTGGTGCCTGCAATAAAATCTGACTGGGTTGGCCATCAAGGGCCAGTTATATTTATGGGGGTGGCTGCACTGCACCGTGTCTCTTCTATGGTTCTGCTTAGAAAATAATCCATATTTCGTTTTGTATTATTTTGATGTGGGGTGACAATGGGGCTGATCCTCATGAAGTTGTAAGTGTTGCATTACAGTGCTATTTGCCACTTGGGTTACTTACTGTATCATCATCATCATTATTTCTGAGGCACTTAGAAGAGAATATACAAGAACTGTCAAAAATACTAAACACATATTTAATCTCAAAATAATAAACAGAGATTTAACCACATCTTAGGGACATAGCTACATTCCCCAGATGATTTTACACTAATTAGCTTTACTTTTAACTGCAAATAGTTAAATAGTAGGCTGTTCTTCATTTCAAATTAGAATGTGACTTTAAAAGAAAACATTCGGGATAGTCATTATGATTTGAGAAAGGCAGATTACATTGCTTTGAGTGTGTGACAAAGGCTGATGGCAAACCTTATGATTTTATTTAAGGAGACTTTACAAAGGGATCAAATTACAAAGCAAACAAACTTAAGATGTATTGCATCAATACAAAAGCTGCTTGTGAAACAGGAAACAAAATGTGTTCCAATTGGGCGAGGACAATAAGCTTTCTGTGAAGACCAGTACTCTCTCTAAAGTATGTTAAAAATATAACAGCTTAAATTTAATGAATTGGTTACATTTGTTTATGTACAGGTAGAAAGTATACTGTCTGGAAAAAGGGTATATCCCTGGTACAGTTTTGTACCGCAAGGTACAAGCAACATTACTGTACCCCCAATGGGACAAAAATGTTCCTCATAGTCCATTTCTGTACCTTCAAAGGTACATTTACCTACAGCTAAGAGTTCAAATGGCAGACCCTTGAGGGTACAGTCCCAGTGACAAGTAATTGTACCCTCAAAAGGTACAAATTTGAACTTTTTTTCTAATAGTGTAGCTAAGCACAAGATTAGATCAGCATATTTGAATTCCACACATACCTTCTGTTAAATACGAATAAAAAAATAATTTCCTTAATATTCTTTTTCAGGATGTTCTGTTTCTGTACTGTGTATTTGTTTAGTTTGCATTGTTTACTTGTCAGTACTATGTTTACTGTCTTTGCACTTTGTTTTATTTTGCACTATATGTTTGTTTGTCTGCACTTTGTATACCTTGCTGCAATATACAAAAGAATTTCCCCCAGGATAAATAAAACCCTCTTCAACAGAAATATATAAAAGAAAATCTCTCTTTACACAAAAGGTAGATGAGACTGTTAAAACAGGCACAGCACTTAAGCAGGAAGCGGACATAGCAATACCTGCATTTTGAAAATGATTCCGTGGCCTTGTGATACTGTAACATTTTTAATGTTCTAATGCAAGAACAAGAGAACTGGATTACGAAGGGATCCATTACAAATGCATTTCTTCACAGGAACCTTGTCCTACCTGAGGACACATTATACCAGTGCCATTGCTTCCTCAGTGGATTCACATTAAGTTCAGGAGAGATTTTTAATTAACTTAACTAAACATTACCTCATTTAAGGTATGGAAAGGTCAGATCCCTGCTTATAATCTAACTGATTAATGTGTGCAATGAGGTACGCATTCTCAGATGCTAGGATGCAAGTAATTCCTAGAATACAAGACGCTTGGGTAGTAAAGCTTTCAGCTATAGAGCTCTCACACTACAGAAGCTCCCGCCAGAGGAAGACTATTGTGCTTGTTTTATTTTAACTTTTGTTAATTTTATTGTACATTTAATTTTTATTCATTTGCCAGGTGATTTGATCTTTTTACTCCCCAAATCATGAAGGTCAGTGGAAATTTGGCAACAGACACAGAGCATGAAAATGAAGCAACTTCATCTAATGAATATATCGTCATACTCATGCATTCCCATACATCATTTACAACTTAGTGCATATTTTTTTTGTCTTCTCTCCCATTACCCTGGTTGACCTTTATACTTGGGGCAAAGGTCATCCAGGCATGACCTGCAAGAGGAAGAGCAGACCTTGACTCACACCATAAACGAGCAACAGGCTCATCTGTTGAGCATCACTTGTTGCCATAATATAGGGCCAAACAGAAGCCCATTGTTTCGTTTAACTGTTACAACTACAATCAATTTCCACCTTTTAATGGGACAGGATGCCAGACAACACCAGACAGCCAGTTATCCTCAGACCCCTAAAGTCTCCTTTTCCTTCTATAGGTGTCATGGTAGTTTTTCTGCTGTTTTCTGCTTTTTTAACAGCTTTTTCTTTGCTTAGTTTACCGGATATTGTAATTTAGTCTGTCTCCTTACTTCCACGAAATGAAATGCACCGCGTTCAGGTTACTGACATAAGCAGGTGAAGTCAAATAGAACACTGATGCAATGCCGGGAGCAGCAGCGCAGCGCATGCGCCAAAGCATAAACTAAGCACGAGGCCTCCGTTCTATGCACCGAACGTCCTTCACTCACATAAGTATTAAAAAGGAAATACCTTCGGTAATTTAAGCGCACTATATTAAGCATTTTATGCCACTTTGTTGCGAAAGCGTACACTTGTTCTCAGCTAGCTAGGTAGACAGATTTTTAAAAAAAAAAGAGTCCTTAAACCCACAGTGGGTGAGATTATTGTGGGCTGCCAATTCATATCTAGTTTGACCCAAAGACACAAATCAACAAGTGGGTCAAATCTGATGGTGACTGACAGTAGATCTATTTCCCTCCTTTAACCATCAAAAGTTTTTTTTTTCCAGTTGCCTCTAATTTAGAATTAATATTATTAGAGTTTAAAACTGCTGTCATCCGCGTAATTCTGTGCCGTTTGTAGGCCTACGGCGTTACCGTTCGGGTCCACGTGACTATTCAGGTTAATGTTCAACTGCTACAAACGTTACATCCATAGACCTGTGTGTTTACTTATCGCACATTAATACTCCGCTAAATCTCAGCAGGATTACTTTTCCTAGTTTATCAACGAGTAATAAAACGAATATCCCAACAAGCAGATTACACGATATTAAAAAACTACCGATGATATTTAAAGGGAATTTCCAGGCTCGTTCATTTTGTTCATACAGGACATTTGCGCTACCTTGCTGACGAAAGTCGGACAGATGTCAGCTTGTCTCTTAAACACTCGAAAGGTAACTTGCCAATTTTAATTTTAGACCGTTCTCGATGCCGAAAAAACGTGCCCTATAAAGTTACGCGTCCCTTCCATAAACCTATATCCAACCCTTAAGACTGTGTGGAATAAATAAATAAATGCTCATTTAAATTATTACTGATGTCCGTACCCTATCCGAAAAAAATGTAAGGATAACGCTGATGCAGGTTAACTAATTAAACTAATTACATCCTATCATACAAGAGTAATTAAAATTCGGGAACAAATATTTTAAATTCAATTTATATACGCCGCCTGCTTGTTTACCAAAACTCCTGCGGTAGAGTAACAGAAGATAAAAAAATAAAATCCTTTAATTCAAAGTGACACCTTTGTTTCAAGCGTCGATAGGGAACATAGCTGACATGTATATAGAGAGTATAAAGCATTAATAGACAGCATAGAGACGGTGAAACAAAGAAAAGCGACAGTCCTGCGCCAGTGTGAAGGATATTGTATACTCACATTACTTAACAACGTGCATGTTGTTTTATGGGTTGTGACACTTAATACCCAATTATCCATTTATAACAAACACGTTTTAATCGATTACAAATGTAGCGCTTGCACTAAGTTGTAGCGGCGCTTGCCTGCGTCTGCTCACTTACCTGCTGAAGTTCCCGAATTCGCCAGAAATTACTTTTTCACACGATAGCAGCAGAAAGAAAGTGTCCGGAACGTCTCTTTTATCCCACCAGTCAATATATGCCACGTTTTTTAAAAAATATTTGTATATTTAATCTTATTTCATTCCGAGTTCTAAACAGCCGTATTCCACAGGGAAAACGGTGCAATCACCACTGTTTAGTATGCCGTTGTCGTTTGTGCGAACAAACACTTCCTAGACATTACTAAGAAACGTAACTGTTTCCTGGTTTTCAAAACTGGTTGGAATACAACTTTCTTGAACGTCAAATAATAATAAATAATAAATCAAATTAAACTATCAAAAAAATATATTTTCCCGCAGGCACTTTAACAGGCAACCCTTGTTGCTCCTGGACAGGTCTTTAACGTTGTAAGCTGATGCTGTGGTTCTGCACACTATACATTGATCCAATTAGTAAAATTAACCCTTCGAGGACTTAAAATAGTACCTTTGCAACTCAAGATACTTTGTTTTGCTGAGTCCTGTTTCGTAATATCTGAGGAGCAGCTAATGAATTCTTGTTTTTTGTTTCTTTTTTTGTATTCTATTGTTCTTTGCACACAACGTGATTGAGAATGCAAGAATTTGATATAAAACTTAAACAAAATTTATTTCACATAAATACAATTTTTTTTTACCCCTGAACCGTTATGTGCAATATTCTGCATGCATAATTTACCTCCTCTGTATGCTTAATAACTATTTTTATGCAGTATGAATGATATGAGAAAGCCTTCCAGTTTTCAAAACTTTGAAAACGTAGAGATGCCAATGATATGTAGATATAGTCGTGCTGATGCCTCTTTCGTCTTTAGGCGATTGGATGTCCACAAAGAGATCATACACACCATCAATTAACTAAATTCAGACAATTTTGAATGTGCGTGGTTGCAGTAAAACTGACAGATTATTCATACGTCGGTCAGTCGTACACTCAACCGCTTCCCAAACAGGAAAACTCAAAGGCTTTGTACACCATTAATGCAATACCCCCCCGCCCATGAACAACACTGAAATATGAATTTTTGTACGTTGTTAGCTCTAATGAACCTGTCCCAAATGGACCCCAAAGAAATCTGCAGACTTCTAATGATCCTTTTGCAACCGATTTCCCCAGCGTTTATACTTTCCCTCACTTCAATCATAGTGTAATCTAAAATCCTGTACTTAAAAGGCACTAGTAAAGAAAACGGGGAAAAAAGTTATTAGGCGCATGCATGACCATGCAGACAGGCTATACTATAATATTATTGTAATCCGGGATGGAATTTGGAAGAGAGGGGGTTAACCACTCCGGGCACCGCACTCCGACATTTTTGCAACAAAACACATTGATCAAATGTTCAGTACAAACCACTTATATAATAATTTTGGTTAAATTATTATAATCTATTATAATGTAATATGTCAATTTTTGCCGGCTCGGTACTCCCTTCCACACAAATTTATGGACAGCATTCCCGGCCCAACCCTGATCTGTCCGCTGGGGCCCTATACCCATGTCAACATAGGGCCCCAGAGAAGTTACCCCCCCCCCTTATTGTAATACTAAAAGAGCAAAACTCTAAGAAGATAACGTGACTGAGATTGTGTATAAGAATGAATAAGGTTACTGATATCTTTCGTAACAGTAAAATTAATGTGATAGATGTAACATATGTTATGTTAAACATTTGTGTTGACTGAAACATGTACAAGCTGTGTACATACACATTCGTGCAATGTGAAAATGGCGGTTAGATGTGAAATATCAAACAAAAGTTAATAAAAACGTATATAACCATCCTTACATATACAGCACCTTTCATACAAACGAGTTAAGTTTAATAATATCATCACTGCATTAATGAGTTAATGTGCGCCTTCAGAAGTTATAGTAAACTTGACCTAAGTGGTTAGCTTCACAAACCGTAAATTCGTACCGGATAGAGTGAAAATATGCCTGCAGGTAATTTTATTTTTAGCGAATGCATCCATGATTCAAAACATTTTGGTATAAGGCTGTGGATAAAGCTATAAAGTTCGGGAATTAAGTTAATTTAAAGTGAATACATAATTGAGCTTCTAAAAAAGTGAATTGGATGGGGGTGAACGTTCTGCTGATCTTTTCAAAAGTAGTACTTTAATGCCGGAAAATCTGCAATTTACTGTGCTTAAATTTGCATTTTAGAAAACACCCTAGACATCTAATTATAGTGTAGACAAATGTCAGGCCTAAAAACCCAGTTGTTGGGTCTGCAAGTCTGCATTCAATGATTAGAAAGCTTTTTCATCACGGGGAAAGTATACGATGGCATAATTTTACAAAGACATAGTTCATTCCTACAATATGCGAGATGATACGACAGTAATATCAGTTAAAGTAAAACACAGAATTAACCCTGCAAATCGTGGTGCAGAGGCTCGAAAAATATACGGGAATAAAATAAACAAAACTGTCACATATTTTTTATATCAGAATTAAGTACGCTCTATTGACTTTCTGAAAATCTTACCAGTGTATCTTGCTAAAGCCTACAAAGCGATACTATCCGTTCTACTACTGCGCATGTTCAATTAATAAGTACGCATGGAGCTTCGAGATGAGTAGTTCGTAATTTTAACATTCTGATATTTTGCAGTCACATTGCAATGACACAGCATAAATATGATATTCTCTTACGTGTAATGAAAAGATGGGGCAGAACGAAACTTCCGTAATGTGACGTCATTAGAAATTGCCCAAAATGACACGCGAGTGAGTGTTTTCTCAATACCAAGAAAGCAAACATCGTACTTGGGGCGCAATGAATTATGGGATTGAAACCGGTGCATCCTTGACATTTCGGGCGGGGAAAGAACGACATCCGGGGATTTTTACCGTCCTCTGTACATCTGTTCTTGAGTATTGGAACTGATTTTCGGCAATAGAAGATGACGTAAAAACAGAAGAACACAAGTACGGTCAAGTACGGGTAAGAGGTATTTATGCAACATTTTGTTATGGGCTACAGATGTTTAGGTAATGTATGACGTTTTTGAAGACATATATAATCACTTTTTTGTTGCTTAAAAATAGTGAGCGTGCATTACAGGTTGAGACAGAAAGTGGCCTGAAACACCACTTTAAGTAAAATCAGAGTTTCACTCATCAGAAGCAAGATTTTTGTTTTATGTATTTTAAGTTTGACTTTCGTATAGTCTCATGCATCATAGTTACGTGCGCTGTGAATTATACACGTTACGGGTGAACATTTGAAATTAAAAAGGTATTGCGCAGTATGTTTTTATTTTTTTGTAATTTATGTATTATGTTGTCATTTAGTAAAGCAAAGTGAATGTAAGCAGTGTGAAAATGGCGAAGAATTGTATGAATGGTGCCACTTTACGTGATGGAAATCGTTCAGTCGTTCATAATGGTAGAAAACGAAAAGAAGAAGCAACGGAGGTAACACTTTCTAAAAAGTCGAGAAGGAAGAAAGAGGGGACTGCCTCAGGGAAAACAGGTGAGAACTAATATCTGTTTTGTATATGTAGTCGAAGTAGTTTAACAGTGGAGAGGAGTCGCCATGATATATCTCTGCAGTCCAAGTAAAAACCAATTTGTACGAAGCTGAAACATACGCAGCCCATAAAGGTTTGGGAGATATTTTTAAATGGTTTCGCGTTCCTTCCGTGTTTCCATTCCCTGACAAAACATTCACGTTTCTCCACAAATGCCTTTTGGGTCACGAGGGCAGGTAAACATTTTGCAAGGCAAATGGGCTCTATAGTAACGAAATAAAGAAAACCATCAACGTTGCATGTTTTGTAATCGGTTTCAGAACGCAACCTACAAGAAGAGAACAGCTCGGGGATTAAAAAATACAAGCATTCCAGTATTGTGCATTATATATACAGGAGTACTCTGGGACAGAATATCTACCCACAAATGCGACAGGTAATTGTAAGACGCAATGCTTGTATGCCCACCCAGCCTAAAGTGCGTAAATTTGACTTCACATGCAAGAATGATTGTAAGATGCTAGGAATTCCGATCTTCAATAGATTACAAAATTGGTAAAGTCCTTATATAAGTGTTAAACTTCAGTCTATTTTATTTTGAGTTAAGGCAAGTTTACTCAAGGGTGATGATGAACTGTAGATTCTTTACGGGGGGGGGGGACTTAGTTTTTCAAACCTTTGGATTGAACTGGAGAGCAGTATTTAGTATTTTATATACTTATATGCATATATATTTGCATCGGACAGTATTTAGGTAATATTTTCCCCCTTTCTCTCCAAGTGTCTCCAGGAACCTTTCTTACACTCTCTAAGCTCTTATCACATCGTCCAAACAGCAAGCCCCTTCGACCGAAGAATCACCTGTCTGGAATGGCACCCCAAGCAACCCAGCACCTTAGTTGTGGCCTCCAAGGGAGGAGACATCATCTTGGGGGATTATAGATTTCAGAAGATGTCTTGCATTATTGAAGGGGCAAGTAACCTATAGTGTGCACTTCTCTTGTGAAGACAATATTAAAATGTCTGACTTCAGGCTGATTTCTGTTTTGGTTTAGAGTAGTAGTAGTAGTACTTTATTGATCCCGAAGGAAATTCAGAAAGTTACTGCAGCACACACAAAAAGTGACATCAGTGTTCATATGCAAAAGAGACAAAGCACAATACAAAAGACACAATACAATAATACTAGATTGCAGTGTGCAAAATAAAGTGTGCAAACATTTAAATTTGATACTATTTTAGTGGGTTGGCGACTTATTCTAGAGACACATAATCCAGATGGTAGTTAAGATTAAACCTTCTCCTGCGCTGCATCATTCACCACTTGGCTTCAGTCTTAGCGTGGGTTCAAATTTGACATCTTTGCTACCCAACAAGTGATAGTCTTCCTACTAGTGACTACTAGCTGCTCATAGTCAGTGGTAGGAGTTGCACCACTCCTGCTGCTTGCATTATGCCCTCTAGCATAATGCAGTGTGAAGAAGAGCAGCAGATTTGTAGGGAAAAACATGATAGAGTCATTAGTAGGGCTGAACGATTTAGGGAAAATATATAATTTTTCTGACATATTGCAATTTGACATGATATAATAAAAAAAAAAATATAGCAACAGAATCAATATTTTAACATTTTTGTGAGAATGGCATATGAGGAGCATGGCACCTCTGTCACACAGGGAGGTTGGCATTAAACTATAAAACTATTCTCACAACAGTTTTATGCCCTGGGTCAGACGTGCTGTATAATGCATATCCTAAATCGAGCCCTTTACCATTTGCTAATCGCGTTGTTTCTAATTGCGATTTTGATTTGAAATCAATTAGGGCGCTTTTCCACCGCACAAAGTACGGTACTTTCGGTACGGTCCTTTTGCTTTTCCATTGACTTCCGGTCGAGTACCAG